AACAGATTTTTTATAATAAATTTAGATATTCTGAACGATGTATCGTTCAAATGTTTACATTATTAAGGTTAAATTATTCATTTCAGAAACCTGAGAAAACATGAACGTCATTCCTTCAAATTAATATGAATTCATTGGCTCAACTATTGAACAATAGTAACTTGCCTTTTATCCTTCATACATTCTTCTTTAGTTCATCCAAATTGATGTCGCTAGTTATAATTTATGAACTATTAAACATTCACTTTCATGTTTTATCTAAAAATATTGTATTCTTTCAAATAAATTTATGTTTTAATTATTATTACTATATCATAATCATAACCGAATAGTATAAGATGGGTATATATATAACTGATCACAACTTTATTGAACAAGTATACACTCAAGTAATAGTGATGTATGTTTCGAACAGTAATGTCTATGTGTATAGCCGATAATGAATAAGTCTACAAGGAGAACATACATTTGAGACGATTATATGAATTTGTAATATATCTACACTTTCTTATATACATAACTGACTAGTACAATTGTAATAAAGTTAAAACAAGTACATATTAGAAACAATTTCATTATTTCTGATTATGATGCTTAAATTTCACTATGGAAATACAGTATACCATCATAATCATTATCTCAGTATTTTATGAGATCTATTTCTCGCACAATTTCATGTATTCATTTGTCGTTCTAACTTGTAAATAAATATGCGATAATCTAACAGCTTCCAATGATAAGTATGTATGTTTATATTAATGAGATCTATTTTGATGACATTCATTTTAACTATGATATACACAATCATAACGTTATTGTATATTTATATCAACTGATATCGATCTAAACAAATGAATATGTAAATAAGTCCTCTGAAATCTTCTTGATAGAATCATTGAATTCAAAGTTACAGAATGTAATATTTTGTCGACATCTTCTAGTCTTATATTCGGAAATGAATGTCAAAATTAAGTATAAAATATGATTATTATGCTGACTTGTATAAATGCAATGAGATAATATTTTGTTCATAGTACCATAAGTAATATAATCTAATCGTGTGGAAATTATATGACAGTACTCAGTGTAGTGCGAAATGATTAAAAAGCTCATGATGTATTCTTGTTCTTTGATTTTTCCTCAAATGTATATTGAAAATTTTAGATTTTTGAAAGTTATAAGTAACTTTATTTTCTTCTTTTGAGATCTTCGTAATAATGGATAAACAGAAGTGAAGTTTTTAATTCATTTCTTATTAATTTATATAAAACAATGATATTAATATTTAGACTTGATATTTCAAATTTCCTCCTTGAAGATGGTACGCTATATGTTCTTTTATATTCAAAGATGCATCAAACAGTTGATTAAAACTATCATCTTCTCTATAAAAGTCTGATTTTTTTTCTAGTAAGCAAATATTAGCGAAGATATCTATAATAGCTACTTTGAAATGCTCCCAGCATCTGTTAGCTATAGTCTAAGACGTCTTATGTATACATAAGGGCTAATCATGTTTATGATGAATACCTTCCAACTATGTCTCTAGATTATTTTGCAGAATATTTCTTTTTATTTACAATAGAAACGATATAAATCCTAGATGAAATCTTATTCAATAGTATATAAGAATGAGTATTGACATTTAGAAGTTGATTTATCTGATCGTATGGTTCAATCAACTAAATTATGTATAAGTGATGTTTTCTATAGTAGAGATACTCATAAAATAATCATCATAGAAAATGCCGAAAGTACCTGTAGACATATTTGTCCTAGATTCTGAATATATGAGTATTCATTTTACAATATCCAATATGTTTATCAGTATTCATAAAGAGGAATGAATAATAAAATATTTGTAAAAAAAAAACTATTCAATAATATCGAAGGATTTTAAATCTTAAGTTTAACGAATAGAATCAAATATTTTTATATAGTACCCTTAGTCAGTGGACATACGCATATATATATATTCTTTTCTGTTCAGTTGTTTGTTCTCCATGATGGTATTATTCGATAAAAGGATATTATCTCCATTTTCTGTTTTTCATTTAAATATACAATTTTATTATATTGTTGTACACATAGATACAAAGGTGTACTGTAATTACATTAACATTGAGATTTTTTCTAATACTATTTATATGTATTCTATATTGACATCTTTCTTTTACTTAATCTCTTTTCCTTTCCTTTCTGGCTATGTTACAGTCACACTACATTGATATATATACATGTGTGTTCTTATTCATCTTCAGTTGACTTGTTCCCTTTCAGTTTTTTTTACATATATCCTAAGAACTTTATAAGTAGACACACATATACACAGGGTGGTTGATAAGTATAATATGACGATTAGAAATTTTAATATATCTGTGAGTGATCGACCAAACTTACTGAAATTTTTATCATTGACAGACCGTGACTTTTTTTATACGGATAATAGAAGTAAAGGCTATTATTAACTATTATAATTGACTTGACAAAAAAATCATTGTTTCACTTGCGAAGATTTCTAATATATAACAAGAGTCTATAATGAATATACTCATACTTCAATCAGCAAGAAAGTTCTAGAAAAACAACTTATCTAAGTACACAAATAGTAAAAACACTTCAGAGATTTGTCGAGTATTCATGCTGACAAGTTGTACTCGCCTGATGAGAATTTTTATTAGGATTTCTTGCATGTTCGAATATAACATTTATATTATCGAGACTTATCTGAATGTATGTAATATATAAAATTACACATGGTCAATGGATGCATCACGATATTCAATAGTCAGATGGTAAACGCATCAAGTAAGAATCACGAATGGATATCGAGGTCGTCATCTACTAGGATTTGTTTTTTTGAGCAAAAAGACGAATAGTTTTATTACCCATTGTTTGCTTTTGTAAATTTCTAGGATATAAAAAAAGATTGATTCAATTAATTTGCTTGATTGAAATATTTAAATTATTCAGTTGACTTCATGTATTTCCTCATAGATAAGAAATTTGATTATATTTATTATTAATTTTTCATTTTTATAACAAAAAAAAGAAATTTCTGTTTAGTTTAAGTCAAAAAAAGAAAGAATGTTTTATATCTGTTTAATTAGAAAACAAATGTTTCTTTTTTGTTGCTATTTTTACTAAGAAAAAAAAAAAGATTTCTATCTAATTATTTTTAACCATATATAACAACATGTCTTATTTCATATATGACGTCGTCTTTCTGTTAATTAAATATGAACTTGACAGTATTTTGTCGGTTTAATATCTTTTATTTCTATACTTTTTGATTAATTTTTCTTATGGAAATAAGACAAACATATAATTAGTAACAATTTTTTTAACTATCATCGTCTGCAAGGGAGGGGGGGGTTATCAAGGATGATTTTATTTTAATATAGATCAAAGATTGATCGAGATGGGTAAATGAAGAGAAGAAAATCTTTTTTGTTCTTGTTCTGTAATTTATGTTAATAGAGTCTTTTGATTCTTTTTTAAATAACAATAGTATTATTAACAATCTTTGAACGAGATAAAAGAAGAAGAAGAAGAGTTGTGTTAAGATGAAAAAAGAAGGAAGAGAACAAGTGAATAGAGATAACCAACAACTCATATTATTCCTCTTCACAGGAGATTTTATTTTTATTCTTTCTCATTTGTCAATTAATGATCTAAAGATAATTCTTTCATAGATCATGAATATAAAAACAAATCGTATCTGTCTGGATCAACAAAATAGTAATTATTATTCAAATTTATTTTCTAGATAAATAAAAAACTCATCGTTTATCTTCTTTTATTTCGGTAAGATTATTTCTCATGCATACTGTTATTATTATTATTATTATCATTATCAAAATTAAAATAATACCGTATATGCGTAATGAAAGTTTGTTTTATTAAAAATATATGTAAATAGAAAAAAACTCTAACAAAAAAGTTCAATGGGTCTTATCATGCGAATATATATATATACCAATAGTGAAAGAATGTTTATTTATTGAATAGAATTGTAAAAATACTAGTTGACACTCTTCCTTTTCTTCTTTTCTTGTTCTAAAAGTAAAAGAAATAGTCTGATGATAATTATAAATACTATGATATATAAATAGAAAATAACAATGTTGCTCTTTTATTTAGTCAATGATTGTTATTTATTTAATAATAATTTTGTTTTTATCATAAGCGAACGAGGTAATGAAGCAAAAGAACAAAATCGAATGTAGCGAAAAATTTCTATAATTGCTGTCAGTCATTCGTACTTGTTTGTGTCAAGGGACTCTCACTTGAATATTATCCTCTCTCTCCCTCTCTTTTTCCTCTCTTCATGTATGTATGGTCTGTCAATGATTTTTCTTTTTTTTACATAAACCAAAAACATCTATCTATCTATCTATCTATATATATATATATATATGTAAAGCGATTGCAGAAACGACTAGCAGTTCTGTTCTTCATCGTTTGTCTCATCTTAAACAACACTATGGCGTAAGTAACCAAAAAAAAAGAATTTTAATTTAAATAAAAAGTAAAATATGAGAAGTATACAATAATTCTTGTCAGTTTAATCACGAGCTTCATTTATTTTTACTGTTAAAAAAAACCTTTATTATTATCAACATAACATAACCAGATAAATCAAATAGTAATAATACATCTGTAGATAAAAAGAAATTTTTATCTTATTTGAATAGATTACCAACAGTTTCTCTACTTTTTCTTTTCTTTTTTTATCGGTATCATTTGTGAGAAAAAGTCACCTGTAATACTTTCATATAAGATAAGAAATTTATATATTTATTTTTAATGAAATTTTTCAACATCATGTTTTATTTCGGTTAGTTTTTATTCTTTCTTTTTTTGTTTCACTAGGATGAGTTTTTTTAAATTACTTTCTATAGATTCTTTTTATTGAGTGCAACTATATAAAAGATGAGAAATAATTTTATAACTTCAATTCTTTTGATGAGGAGAGAAAATAATAAAAAAAATGACAAACTTTTAATAATGTTGAAAGGAATTTTTCTTTAAAACAAAAAAGAAAAGATCGTTTATGATTAAGTTTAATCAGAATTAACATATATGTTTTTTAGCTGTATAGATTTATTTCCTGTCGTGTTTCATTATTAGTTATTTGTAAACGTATTCATCATTTAGTAAATGTCACATATATATATATGTGTGCGTATGTATCTTATTTTTCTATTCATCAATAACAACAGAAAAATCTAATAGATGAGAAATAAGTACTATGAGTGTCACTAACATCGATTATGATCGTCAATATAAAGAAGAGAAAAAAAGAAGCCATATAGTACATAAAACAGAAACAAAATATATATCGACATTTATTTGCTTCTTTATTTTTTTTTCAATAGAATTTTATCCAGATTTATTGTCTTTTTTTCAATCACAACCGTTCGTCTATAAAGTCATTTATTAGTTTATTATTCCCATTTCACCATGTCGATATGAAAAAAAAAGAAATCTCGTAACGATGAAAGCATTAGCAAGTAGATAGAATAAAAAAAAAAAGAGAATAGTAGTTCGAAATTTTTTGTGTATTTATGTATCTTTATTACTCGGGCATATAGCTAGCGGATATGACCCGTCATTTTCTTTTTGTGCTTTTTTTTTCTTATTCTATAAAGGCGACCTTGGTTATGTCTTTCTCTTTTTCACACATATATTGTTGAGAAGAAAACATTTTTTTTATCATGTTCTCTTGCTCGTTACTATACTCTCACTTGTCATATTTAGTTACGTAAAATATATTTTAGGCTTTTAATAACTTTCATATCAAATATTTTAACAAATTATGGCCGACAATGCTGTGTCGTCCGATCAAACAGTGCACGATTGTGAAATATATATATCTAAACATGATATACAACATATATTACGTGATTGTGTAGTTCAATTATGTTTAAAAAAACCTACTAATCCAATTGAATTTCTTGCTAATTATTTCGATAAACTTTCAAATAAAAAATCTTCTATGCGTCAACAACAAACAACATCCTCTTCCTCAACTGAATATCATCATCAAGTATCAAATGGTGAAAATGATGATAATAATGATTTAAATGAGCCGCCAACCATACTTCATCAAAATCAATTAACGACGAATGCTAGTGTAAAAACACGTGAACGTCGTGGTGCAGTATCAGCTGAACCTTACAAAGAAGAAGATGCTACATCATATGTTAAAACAGTTATACCAAAAGATTATGCAACAATGCAAGCATTAAGTAAAGCTATTCAAACAAATTTATTATTTTCACATTTAGATGATAATGAAAAATCGGATATATTTGATGCTATGCAACCATTTAATTATAAAGCCGATGATACTATAATACAACAAGGTGAAGAAGGAGACTTTTTTTATATTATTGACCTAGGTGAAGTTGAAGTATATGTTAATAATAAATGTGTGACAGCTATATCAGATGGAGGAAGTTTTGGTGAATTAGCTTTAATTTATGGAACACCACGTGCAGCAACAATTAAAGCTAAAACAGATTGTAAATTATGGGCTATTGATAGAAAAGTAAATAGTTCATTTCTTTTTTGTCATTTTAATAAAGAAGATTTATTTTTTAGACTTATCGACGTATTTTAATGGGTTCAACAATAAAAAAACGTAAAATGTATGAAGAATTCTTATCGAAAGTTAAAATTCTCCATGAACTTGATCAATGGGAACGTTTAACGGTTGCCGATGCTCTTGAAACTGTACAATTCAATGATAATGATACTATTGTTACACAAGGTGAAAAAGGAAATGATTTTTTCATTATTGTCGAAGGTAATTCAAATTAATATTTCTTTTATTTATTTAAAACAAAATCTGTGTTCTTTTAGGTACAGCGATCGTATATCAAAAACCATCCGATGATGAAGCAGCGGTTGAAGTATCAAAATTAGGTCCATCAGATTATTTTGGTGAAATAGCTTTATTATTTGATCGACCACGTGCAGCAACCGTTAAAGCAAAAGGACCTTTAAAATGTGTAAAACTAGATCGTGGTCGATTCGAACGTGTACTTGGACCTATATCGGATATACTTAAACGAAATGTTGCACAATATAATTCTTTTATTAATCTAGCTGTTTAAAAAAAAATAAGATTAGAATTTATATTTCCTATTTTTTTCTTTTGTTGTCGATCGTTCGTTTGCTTTTAATTTCAAACAGTTTCAAGACTTTGTATGTCTTCTATTTTTTTTTCTTCTTGTCTTTAAAACAAAAAAAACAAATATATATATATACATATAAATATATTTAATGTAATTCAAATTTTAAACTTTTTTTTCCGAAGAAACAAAAAAAAATATTATTATCTTTAATTAATTGTAATATTGCATGACTATTTCACTTTTTCTTAGCATATGTCAATGGAAGAAAAACAAAACAGAAGTAGGTTATACTAGTGTATTCTAATTGAATATATGTCAGACATTATCAATAAAAAATATAATATGACTTGTCTATATTGGAAGAGTATCTCATATAAAAGAAAACTTTCGAATGTAAAGCGAATATAATACGATATTTTTAGTTGCAATTAAACTAATTAGAACAGGAAAATCATCTGATTTCAAAACATAGAAAATCTCGTTGATTGTATCTTTAATATGTGTCCCAACTGCGACCACTTGAATAAATAAGTTACTGAAATAGTAGATGATGAATTATGGAAATATTATATGTCATTATGGATAAAAGTAAATAATATGATCGAGAAAAGGAAAACATATTGAAAATAGAGATTTTAATGATTACTAAAAAAGTTATACGATTCAAATTCGTTTAACTAATATTCAGTCAGAATCCTGCCGATTCCGACTATTGAATAGGGTTGAAATATAGCAGTTGATGTTATCAGTATTATCGATGATAGATGATGAATCTGTTCGATTATCTGAAACCGTAATGAATCATTGAGTTTATTCCAATCGATATGTATATTTAATTGGCATTTTTCCACTTAGTCTAACGTTACTTGTTTGACGTATACACGCGCTATATAATGATATCTAATAACTTTATAAGTGCTTTGACCTTAAACAAACAAACGAAATGTTAAGATCTTGAAAAATGTTTATACAGATGATTGATGATAACATATCACAACTATATATATATTTGTATATAATACTAAATGTTACCATTTAACATTCGATTAGATTCTAACCGAATTTAGATAGAATGAATTTGATTAAAAAAAATTATTGCTTAACTTTGAATTATGTGATGAAGACGTTTTATACAAATGATAATATAATAATTGATTTATAAGCATCAGTAAACATATTTGATATATCTGCCAGAATAACAAATCATGTAAACAAAGACTATTTATATATTGAATAGTTATTGGGTTAGAACTCAATCGATAACGAAGCAGATGATATATATGTTGAGATATGTCCCATATTTTCAATCGTATTGAAGTTTTTCTTTCGCATGAGAAATCTAAATGTAAACAGTTGTCAGAAAATAATACTATATTATCGTCGTAATCTCATGTTTTTACTAATTATCTACAATAAGAATAAATAAAAAGAAAGTGTCGAAAAATTTATTGTGATGATAAGGGTTATCTATATACAAAACATAACTCATTTATCATATATTAATAGTTCTGTAGATCTAGTATAATAATTCTTTCGATAATACCTAATTCCTAAAATTTTTATTAAATAAATTTAAACAATTACAATTTATGAAAATTGACACTATTTTGTGTTGATATTACTAAAATATTCGGACCAAATAAAGTTATATACCATGGACTCATTTTATAACTATAAATTGTTTTAAGTTTACCATCATTTCTAATATGAAAAAGACGTTGATTATGAAAATCAGCAACTAACCATTGATTATCATAAAGTGAACAACAACGTAATGAATTATGACATTCACCTTCAATATCTAATTTCAATGACCAAATATAATCAAAATGTTTTATTGATCTTAATTCAATACGTTTTGTTAAAAATTTCTTATCATAAATAGTTAAAGCAATTGTTTGATTATTACAAACAATATCTTTGATATATTCATGTTTATGACATATCAACGGAGATTTCCATTCTTTAATTAATTCAATCGACGGTTGTAAACTAAATTCCATAATTGATGTACCTTGTTCATATGTCGATAAATATAATGATGTATCTGAACAAGTACATGACCACCAATTACGTCTTAAAATTGTTTCAATACGTTCAATTGACATTGTATTTTCATCAATTAAATAAACTTCAAAATGTGCCATAACTATAAAACGATTTAATGTTGATGACCAACACATATCCCATATTCTTCCATGTGGCCATGCTATTTGTTTAATCGGTAATAATTCGCGATTGATCAAATGTAAATTATGCATACGATACATTAATAAATATTGTTCATTACTTGCTGTGGGTTTAGATAATTTATTTGAACAATCAATAATATGATATGGATATGATATTTGCGTTAAATTAAAATGTGTTGTATTAATTTCTTCAATCATTATTGATTTATTTTCAAGTATTAATGGATGAATATTAATATGAAATATTGTTTGTTCTAATTTATTCATTTCTTCTTCAAGATTTTCAACATCTACTATTAATAGATTAATACTTTGTCGTGATATATCTTCTTCTTGTAGTAAATCAGTTATTTTGGTTTGTAATTCAGTTATTTTTTCTTGTCGTTGATTTAAATTATCATGAAAACGTTGTTTGATTTCTTGACATTTTTTCTCATATAAACGATCAATAGTTTTATAAGAATCGTCACGCCATTTATCAAGTTTTTCATAACAATTTTCAATAAGTTCTTCATTAGTTAAATCTTCAAGACGATCATCAAAATTTTTCACTTTAGTATTTAATGATTTTAATAAGGAATTAAATGAATGATCATGATCATCAAAATGTTCGCGACATAAACTTTCATGACAAACGTAACATAAAGCACGCGAAACAGATTTACAATTTGTTATAGCACATAAAGTAGGCATGTGTTGAATTACCGTTTTGTTTTACTAATGGAGACTTGAAGAAAAAGAGGTATATATGTAAAATGAAATTTGTTCTTCAATAAATAATTCACATCTGTTAGAAAAAGAACAAAAAAAAGTGAAAATTTTCTTTCTTTTTTCTAATGGTCTCGTTTTCGATTAAAACAAACGAAAGTTAAAGAAATGTACCTATCTGTTCAGCATGCAATTTATTGAAATAACAAAAAAAATCAAAAGAACAACATGAAATTGTAATTTTGACAAGTAAAATCGATGTAGGATCTTAAAAATCGCTCTGGATATTCACTTATCCTAACAACGGAAAGACTTTATTCGGATTAAATGTTCCAATATTTTCTATAGATTCAGTTGCGTTTATGTGATATTCTGAAATGCTTACATAGAATGGATTTAAGAGCGAACTTAGAGAAGATGCCAATGATTCAGATTGTGATAGGAATTAATTTACTGCTCTAAGAAATCAATCCATTTTATCAATAAATTGTTTTTCTCGTTCTTGAACTTATCCCAATAAAATACGTCTTCAGTGGAACTTGTGTCTAAATCACGAATGGCTTCTCTTTTTGTACTGTAAACAGATCTTTTGCTGATACATATGAGCATCTGTGTACGATTCTGATTGCTACCAGAACTTTCCTATCTAATGTGTCCCACCATATTTCAGCTATCTCAATTTGATAAGTGGAGATAGAATGGTCGCGCTTACATTAGTTACATCTATATACTCTCAACATGTACCAATAGATATGCTAGATAATAAATTCTTTAGGAATATATATGTTATTACAATCGATATTTGTACCCGTGCAGCCCTTCGTTTTTATGGTATGTGTCAAGTCTATGTAAATTCAAGTTAAAAAAAATCGAATGACATTTATTTCAAGTTCTTTGATCTTTTCTATTCAATAATTGATTGGAAAAATCGAACAGCACTAATATGTGCATATTTTAATGGAAATTTTCGATCTTTATTCGATCATTATCAACCTTTTAACACAACCTTATAACAAGATGTTACAACAGATCTTAAGATTATTGATATTCATACATTAATGATACATATAAGTAGTATTAACAAATTGAGTATAATTAGTTGTGGAATGAATTTAAGAACCATTCATGTACATGATTATTATGTTTATGTTTAAATGATGACTACATATAAGATAATTTATACTTATTATTATATGATCTTTTTTCATATATTTTTCCTGTAAAATCTTTTTTGTCTGTATCATCAGGTTGTATTAAAAGGTTGATAATGATCGAATAAAGAACGAAAATTTCTACTAAAATTAAAATTTTCAACATTAACTACATTACTTACTTTTCATTTAAATTGATTAAAATCTCAAAATTATTATTATTTTTTCATACTAATATATGCACTTGTTGCAAAAAAAAGAATACTAAACCTATAACGAATCTCGAACGTCAATATCTTAAAATCTGAATTGCCATTAGCGGAATTTCTGTAAGATTAAACTATTTAACATGAGATAACCAGTTATTAATAGCAAATAGGATTAAATTCATTTCATATATACTTAATACTCACTTCAGCTTACTATAGGTACAATTCAATTAAAATTATAGTATTCACCTTTCATCTAATGAGAATTCCTCTTTTCGAAGTGACATCTGTCATGATTTATTATTATATAGAAAAAAAGACTTATTACCCTGATGTCTTTCATGTGTTTGGAAGGGAGATTTAATCATTTTTATTCCTATATATATTATATTTTTTAATATTCATGTTTCATACAATATCGATAATATTATAATTTATCTACATTTTAAACAGAAAGCACCAAGAATATTTCACGGACAAAAATATCAATATAAATCACGATTATTATAATTCTACAATTGTTTTTTTAATTCTACTTCATATCGTTGTTCAATAGTCGGCCGACTAATACGAAACCACAAACTAACTGTAAGCAACTGTAAAATAAGAATTATTATAGTATATAAAATATCTTTGAAATAATTTAAATCTGTAATATTCGTCGTTTTAGAACGCATATCTTCAAAAACTGCATTTGTTTGACTATAAGCCATAAGAAATATAGTTAAATGAAAAGCATGATGTGATTGACCAAAAAGATCAAACGAACCGGGACAAAAACGTTCGGGTATTCTGCCAACAAATATTAAACCACTTAAAATAAATGAACTAAATTGTATAAGATGCCAATAAAGTGCTTTTTGTTCGGATTCAAATAATTCATTTTCATTGGAATAGAAGATAAAATTTGAAAATAAATTTTTTAAAACTGGCCAAATTTGATAGAAATAAACAGTTAAAACACCAGAACATTGGAGAAACTTATGAGAAAATGGATACGGTCGACGATAGAATGTTTTACAAAAACAAGCGATTGACAATGAATATAAAGATAATAGACCTAATATTAAATAATATGGTTCATCATTCGAAATAGATTCTTTTGCGATTTTTATATTCATATTAATTTGTTTATGTGAAAATCGTCGAAGTACAATACCCGATGTAATACCATAAAAATTAATACCAAAATAATCAAGATAAAATGAACGTATATGATCGGCAACTGTTCGCGAATGTAATAAATGTGCTTGAGCTGAACATAATAACATTATACAAGCTCCGATACAATTATAAATAATATAAATATATATAACTGATGAATATGATTCATTTGATAAATAGATAATATGTTGATAGATTTGTTGAATTAGAATGAATGTACCAAGTAAATGAATCCATACAGACAATGTTTCATTATGTAAAGAAAAAAGTGATCGATAGTAATATGAATAAGGTTGATTTGGTAACCGGAAACCAGAATGAATGAATGGTTCAACATAAATGTCGAGAACATCAACAGCACGTAACAACATTCGTGTATCTTAATAATAGAAAAAGGATAAAAGAGAGATATATCATTAAATGTAGAGAAGAAAAAAAAAGAATATCTCATTAACTGAATAAGATAATCTCTGATTTAAAAATCTTAATGATGTGAAGAGAAAAAAAAGAGAGACATTACTTTCTGCCATAAATGCATGCACATTACTTCTTCTGATCGATCGATTGAATGTGTCCCAACATCAATAAGAATAACAACAAGCAGGAGAGAGACAGAGGAAAAAAACGATGAAGATACAGAAAAAGACAGAGAGAGAGAAGAAAAGAATTGCCGCTAGCACATCGTTCTTAACAGCGGAAATAGTTTGCACACATTCACCAGATCAACAGATAGAATATAGACGACATCAACTAATCAGTAATATAACTATGATCCATCTATGCCATTCATTTCATGAATGTTTATATAATATCATTCTCGCCTTCATCTATATTCTTTACGCCATAAATCTATATGTATAAAGATTGATGTTTCGTCGTCAAAAAAAAAAAGGTTAATGCAAAAGTGCGACTCATATATAATTCACTGATAATAAAAAAATAGGTTCATGAATTAATAGACAGGTTGAAGATATATAGAAGAAAAAAAAAGAAAAAACCTTATAACTATTGTAACTATTATTATTCTTTGTTCGTTAGCGATGGTGACATGTTCAATTCTCTAGCGTCTTTTGTTTGACAACAGCTATGTCTATTCAAGACAATTTATTCCTTACAAGAAAGAAGAAGAAGAAGAATAAGAAGAATAAGAAGAAAAAAAAAGAAAAAGAAAAGAACCGGAGGGGATAAAATAAAAATAGCAAAAAGTCATACAATAAAACGTTCGATGGAATATGAATAACAATTAAATCAAAGGATCGACAAAATCATCGTGTAATAGTTATAAAGATTTAACTAGACGATCGAAAATACATTGATACTTTAGAAAAATGATTGGAAAATTATTTTCTCTTTACACTACTAGTTATAGTTACCATAAATCTTTTCATTCGGTTATTAACTAGTACATTAGACAAATCGCTACATATATATATGTGTGTGTAGTATAATCAACTGTTGTTTATTTATTTAAATAACATGGAATGACCTTATAGAGATGAAAGAAAAAAACTAGGGTCAACAAAGATAAGAATTATTATTTATTGAAGCGTCTGAGCGCAGGAAAAGAAGTAATTATATATATATATATATGTAACATACAACTGCTAAATTGAGAAAAGAACACAACACTATATAAGATAATGATACATTGAATTTATTTCCTGTAAATAACTAATTTTCTATTCAACTATTATTCAACAAAAAAATTAACAAGATAGTTTTGTTTTTGGACTATTTATTTAAGTTTGTAGAAAATTCGCTTATAAATTTATTTTGAAGCTTTACAGGTAATATATTCTTAACACGAATCTAGTTTATTTTGAAAGACATTTTAATAGCACGTTTACATATAATTGAATGTAATCATTTTATATCTCTATTTTTTTCTATAAACATGTAAGTGTTAATCTCTGTAGACAAATCTCATTCTAACTTTGGTAAGCACATCGTATTTTAAATATGATCAAATTATCCGACTATATCTCATTCAATGCTCTGATTCTATACGCCATTTTATATATTAACTTTTGTCTGAAACATGAGTATAATACATACAAAAAAGAAAAGATCAAATGATAGCGTGTACATTATTCCTCGTGTTTTAATCAGAACCGAATAGCTTGTAATTAAATTACTCCAATCAAATCACAATAATTTTTTGTTGATGAATCACTATACATAGATTTATTTTTTGGATTCAGTAAAAATTTCGAATAAGAAAAGCAATATTTATCTGTTATATTATGTCGACAGTGGAGGAAAGGTTGAGAAGTGTATAGAAGGATGTAACCTAATGATGATGTAATAATGGCAAAGCAAAATATTTGAATACTTCAAACAAATGTTAACATATATATACAACTGACTATACTTATCCTGTTTATTTTAAAAGAAAGAGATATGGTTTATATATAAAATGACCTTAGGCAAATTAGAATAATTGTGTCAAGTTAATATAAACATTCTAAAGCATTAAAATAGAGCTTTTATTACATCAACAACAAAAAAAATCATAAACGATGAGGGAACATTTAGAGTACGTCGCGTTTTGTAATGATTCAATAATCGGTCAACTGAACGTAATCTATTAACTCAGAAATATTTGCTATCAAACTACTTATAGGCGTAGTTTACAATCGACTGCAGTAATTGATTCACATGTGATGAATTCAAAAAATCAAAATATCGCCATCTGACTTCTTTTTAAAAACTAGATATGAAAACACGTTATTGATATAACTATTCCAAAGCGCCAGCCGCAGTATTGATCGTAAAAAAAACTTCATCATTTCATTTTTCAAAAAAAAAACAGACGTAATTTTAGTCTCATCGTGATTTAGTAACATTAAAGTCGAGTATCACCTATATCTAATATTTATCAAACGTGTTTTTGATATTAATTTTGAATGTCATAATTTAAAAAATATATATATTTTGACACAAATCAATAGAAGACGTTGCTGAGTTTTTTATTTGTTCAGAGGTCTATGTAGCAAAAGTCATGAATAAAGTCAGAAAATTTATCTAGTAAATAAGCATGTTTAGACATGATTTACTTTAGTTTCTAAAATTACTCAATGAGAAAACTTCTACTTATATAGACAGAAGAAAAAGAATGAAGATACTATAGTTATGAGAATTGTATATACTTGTTTTTATTTTTTATAGAGCACAAACATTAGTAGATTGAATATGTCAACTATTAATACAGATAATGTGAATTCTATTCCATCAAATGAAGTTGTTCATACACAACAACTAAATGATGGTATAGTGATAAATCAACCATTATTGAGTTATACACAAATAAACGTTGAACCTAATCAAAATTCTTCTCAACATTTACCGACGTCTACATCTATTTGTGAAAATAACGAAATAACACCAATTGTATGTATTCATGATGATAGCAATGATTATAATTTACATTCAGAAAATATTCATGATATAAAAGAGTATAGAATATGGTCAATTTTTACTATGCTATTCTGTTTCACTTTCATTGGTGTCTATGCAGTTGGTATGTCTCGTCAAACAAAAACAAAAAAACTTCAAGGTGATTATTTAAGTGCACGATACGATTCAAATATGACTGCATTGTTAAATATAATCGGTACACTTTCTGGTATTGTTATTTATTCTCTTGGTGGTCTTCGATTAACTGGACATATTGTAATGAATTCTTTTTCAAAATAGAAAAAAACTTATTAAAACAGTTACTATATAAAACAAATTTTGATAAATTATAATATAACATTTTGTTTCTCTTCTTTTTCATACAAATATATAATAATTTGTATTGATATAACTGTTTTCAATACTGCTTGATTCTAAACAAGCTTACGAATATCATTCATTATTTTACCTTTCAACATTGTGTTTTAATTCTACTGCTATTATTGAACATTTATGTTTCAAAAATATAAAAAACTGATGAAACAATTTTTAACATTACATAATTTAGATAAAAGGTGATTGTCAAATGATTTTGTCGATCATTAAAAAAGACATACTAAATGCATGAAAGTCGTCTGGAAATATATAAAAATAGTCGATTAAAAAAAACATAATTAAATCAATGACAAAAGAAGAAATGGAGTTCTCCTATGCTTACTAACTACATATGATACTGAAATAAGACCTTGAAAAATAATACGACCACAGAAAATAAATGTTACTCAATCTTATGTAAAAGTGAGAAGTATAAAAGAAAAGTTTGAAACTATATTAGCAGGAATAAATTCAAAATGCAAATGTTTATAAAATTTGAGAGTGTGCATATGGATCTAGGTATAGATGAATTATCAATACCCATACCTTTTGAAATAGTCAACGTTGTTAACAAGGAAGAGCTTTATTCTCTGTAAAAGCAGTGCATGCGGGAAAAATAGAGTCATACAAAGTGTGACAGTGTTTATGTTATTCTCTATTGACACAAAATACGATGGAAGCAGAATATAGTTATTTACAAGCACAATTGCCGACTCTCTCCATTTAAACAGAAACGCGTTGTCTCGCGAACAAGAAAAAAACACCTTGAGAAGGGAGACAGTGATGTTCTTTTTCTTTGAATGAGTTTCGCTAGGGTTTTCACTCGTAATAGGCAAGGGTTTAGGTTTGGTTGTGGATGCGAGTGTAAAATGCGACAGAAGCTGACTGGGTGGTAGTAGACCACGGACTAAAAAAAACAACTCCGAAACCCAGCTCAGACTTCGACAAAAAAGTTTTCTCTACTCCAATTTCAACTCCGAAATATTTTTCTTCGCAACTCTACGCCGCTCACTACCGAGGAGATAAACTAAGCGAAGAGACACCCATACGTACATATACAACTTCATCCACAGCTACATTCACACCCCCATCCCCACCCCACTCACCCACCCACACCCACACCCTCCCCCCATCCCGTCCACAGCTTTACCCACAGCTACACCCGCAACCTCATCTACAGCTACACCCACAGCTTCACCCATAGCTACATCCACACCCACACCCACACCCACCCTCAAATGTCCATCGATTGATACGTATTTCTTACATTCTTATCATTGAGATTCGTTTCTTTGTCTAGATTTTAAACAATAAGAATATGAAAATGAAGTCTTCTTAGTGTTTTGTTGAACGTGAAATAAAATCATACATTGTATAACAAATCGTTTCTGTGCATGCTCTTCTTATTACTTATTAAATATTTGGATCTTTATAGGTCAAGCATTGTCGTACTTTTAATGGATGAGACATCATCAAATATCATGACTCTACTTTATGGAATCGGAATCGGAATATCAATCTTAGTGTTCTTTATTATGACAATCTGGGGCGCTTGTGACGAACGTGGATGTTGCCGTCAAAGTGACAATCGTCCAATTGCTAACAGTATCAATCCAGAACAATCACAAATAGAACATTGAGAATTGAGATGGCAGCATATAGACAATAGCAGACCACGCTGTTTCGAAATACATTCTCTGATGACATATTCATCAATAGTAAATTCAATTGGTTTCGTTAGTCAACCATCATTTCAAAACGCACATAATGATAATAGCAGAACGAGATTAACTTCACTTGTGCAAAATAATCTACAAGTACCATCAACATATAATAACACAATACAACATGGAATACAATGCAGCACTATTCTCTACCACGGCTATCTTATAATCTTCCAGAATTTCGTAGAACAACAGTAACAACTTCAGAAAGTCAATCTATCTCAAGTTCACCACCGCCATACGATGATGTGATACAACTAAACTCAATGTCTATCACTATGCAAACACAAACCAAACTGCCACCATCTTATAATGAGTTTATGCGAGGAAGAAATGAAAGGAGCATAGTATGATTCCGAATTTGAGAGTATGAGTGTAAAAGTGTCTTTTTCTTAGATAATTAATACTATTTCAAATTTTAGTCTTTTCATGTCAAAGTCTGATAAATATTGATCGAATTTCTTCAAAATCTTTCAAAATTGAAGATATATTCAGCTTTTAAATAAAAGATAGTTATCTTGATCATGCTAGTGCATGAGGATCAACAGAACGCTTAAGATATGTTTATGGTAACTAGAAATTATTGTATTTGTGATAGATCGTTCAACAGAGATTGAGTAAGTAAGTCTTGGAGGTAGAACAATTCACCTTATTGGCTTAAAAAACCATCTTGAGGACGTGGATAGGTGCAGATATAGATGGATAATCAACATTCATATCCTTTGAGGTAATCATTGTTATTGGCAAGGAAGGATTTTCTTCTCTGCAGAAGAAATAAATGAGAGAAACCGTGTTATACAAAATATGGCATTGTTTATGTTATTCGCTACTGGAAAAAAAATCCTATGCAAGCAGAAAATAATTATTTACAAGCACTCATTCCTTCGTTCTACACGCTATCGATTAGACGTGTCTACTATATATCGTTCTTCTTCTCCTTTTAACTCCGTCGACAACGACGGTGATGAATCATCGACCAAAATGGAAATTCAAGCTGAAAATAGTCTATTTCCTGATATTAGTGAAGTCAACAAAAATCGATCGTTTACTCCGAATACACTTCACAAAACTTTAATCGAAATCGCGCAACAGGCACTGGTAAATTCAAACAATCAAAATAATAATGAAAAGGTCAACCAGGGCAAAAACAACAACGTGTACAGAGAGAGAACAGAAAAGGAAAAAACGTCTTTCTCTCCATTTACTATAAAATTTCAACAAAGGCCTTCGAAATCTGAACTTCAACTGGAAAAAGAACTCTTTACTTTCTGGAAGAAATCTTCATCGTCAATTGATCTAACTCGTCTACATGTTCTAACTCGTTTCGGCTTTCAAGGTCATCTACAATTACATGCACAAGACGTAGAATCGTACGATACACTCGTTGCTGTCGATTGGCCTACACATCTCGTTAATCAACCGATCACAGTTGTTCCACCTATTCGTGTTCCTCCACATCATTCAATCGTCGTCCGGGATGTACCACTTTCATGGCAGCTCCCGGAAATTAAAAATGAAATAGAAGATAGTTACGGAAATGGTTCGGTTCGTAATATTGTACGTATGTATGGTAGAGATGGAAATCCCATACCATCTATTCGTCTAGATACATCATCATCATCGTACATCGTTACATTTCTTAAAAACAGTTTCATCAACATTGGTCATGGTCGTCATGCTGTTAAAGAATATCATCTTCCAACTCGAATATCTCCTATTTGTTATAACTGTTATGAACATGGTCATCTTGCTCGGCACTGTAAGAATTCGAAGCGGTGTGGTCGATGTAGTCAACAGCATGAAGGAGAATGCTCAAACGATATCAGGTGCGTAAACTGTAATGGTCATCATTATCCAGGTCAGTCAAATTGTCCTGTTGTCCAACATTTACGTGCAGAAAAGCAAAAACAACAGCATCAACCGAATATCACGTTTTCTTATGCAAAAGCAGCTAAGCGCCTGCAGCCATCGACAACTACAGCTCAACCCACTACGTCAGTTATTACACCAGAACTTCAAACTCAATTGATCTCTATCAACAAGAAGCTGGATGAAGTGAAAGAATCGTTCCTCGACCTGAATATAAAAATATCTAATAAAGTTAGTCAATTGGAAAAACGTCTCATCGACGCTGAAGAACAAATCGATGTTCTCTCTTCGGAACTCAACTATAGGTACGCTGAACAAGGAATCAAAAACAGCTCAACCAGGAATATAATCGTAAACGTTTTGCTACCCGCATTTATAGACATTAGCAAAGCTATCGCAGCAACATCTCGTAATCAAGCATCAAGAAACGAAGTCGAAACCATATGCAATGAAGTGCGGATCGCTATGCAACATTCAGATGAACAAAAAGAAGGTAGAATTATCCAGCTGCAACAAAAATATCCACTTCTACAGTTCAATAATAAATAGACATTTTACCAGACTGATGAAACACATGTATCCCGTGAGTTTTCGTGTCTTCGTCTCCACTCGGAGCCGAAGATTGAGTATTAGTCTTCCTTTCAACTCACTGTTATCTTTTAATGCTATTGTGGCTGTTGTAAACTATCTGCTTCACATTTGTTTTCTCTCCTCATTTTCTTGATCTTTTTCCTTCTTACCTCTCTTATTCTGTCTAATGTTACACTTATACATATTTATATTACTTTTTCTTTCTTTCTCACTTTCTCTTTAATCTTTACTTGTGTACTGTAAGGACCTTGACGGTCGTCAGTCTTATTACTGCCTAAATAAATAAAAATAAAAAATAAAAAAATTATTTACAAGCACAACCGCCCACTCTCTCACCGTCTAAGCATAAACGCATTTTCTCGCGAACAAGAAAAAAACACCTTGAGAAGGAAGAGAGATGTTCTTTTTCTTTGAATGAGTTTTACCAGTTTTTTTCATTCTTACATTTACATTTTATGCACAGAATTTACTTGATATAGTGAGATTGAATGCCTATAACTGGTGGAAAGAAAAAGGAAGAGAGAGAATAGGAAAAAAATGGTAATACAATTTTTTCATGTCCACACTTTGAACGACAAATAAATAGTAACAGAAGAAGCAGCTGAATTTCATTTCTATTCATTCTTTTTACACAAGTAAGTGTTAATGCCATAACAGCTACTGCAATGATGAAAATAGAAAGAATATTGACATGTCCAATGAAAGTTAAAGAAATAGTTGAATAGTTCGATATCTAATCGATGGTAGATTTACTAGAATAAAAGATTGCACTTCTGCTAGTAGATAAAGTTTAGAATCTAAGAGTTTGATAAAATGAGAATCGATGTTAATGAAAGAAGAACTGAAGTGAATATTAGAAGACCATCTGTTCGATCGATGTTACAAATGTTTCTTGTCAAGACTGAAAGAGAATGCATCCTATTCTACAATGTTGAACATTTCATATCTATTTTTTACTTTATATCAAAGTTAGATATTATTTCTGTTTTATATCTTTGACAGAATATAAAAATACAAGATGATATGCAAATAATGCATACAAATATTCTATATTCTTAAGAAATATTTTTACAAAACAATTTTAACAATTAAAATTTTACACTTTACTTTATCTCTCTTTTCAATTGACAAATGATTAACAGTTAGCGTGTTTATATATATTAAAACTATTTCATTTAACATAGAATTAAACTATTCTTTCGAAGTTAAATATGATATTACACATGAAAGGAATAGAAAATATATCTCGTTTACTTTTCAAAATCAAATTTTAATCATTTATCTAGCTGACATCACATCTGATATTATGACTTAATTTTTAGACATGGTTAGTGTTCTTTAAATGATTTATATATAATGAAGAATGTGAGTTTGCAACAAAACAAGTCTCTTTAAAAGAAATTATTTTGTAGAAAAACTGAAAATCTACAGATATTAGTGGTATGATTGAATAGAGGTATATATACTTATACTATTATGATATTAATGTTTTTATTTGTATTGAGTTTGTCAGAAGTATTTCAGGTGAATTGATTTTGTCACTGAATAAAATTCTCTACCAACTCAGTATATCAATCTTACAAATTGACCTGCTGAAATAAATCAGTTCGTGTCGAAGGAACTATTCAAACAGTTCTTCATATACAAAATAAAATTGTACTTACTAGCGTCTGAAAATAATTCAACAGATCATATTTGAGGGTGTAGGTATCTACCATCTCATAGCCCACCTATATTCACACCCGAATATTCTTGATGTAGAACCCATAAGAAGTTAGGTATTTTATTTCTTGAATCTGATATGAACAACATTGTTACTGGCATCGGCTGTGTTTAGTAGCGTCTATTCTTTCGTGTCATGTATTAAAATGTCTTTTTCTAGCAGCAGCCACATAGAAACTCAATTTTTTTCTTTTGCTTGTTCACATGTCTTCAAATGAAATAATACTGTTCTTTCCCTTTTCATGAAAAGAAAAAAAAACACTACTGATTGGTTACTTTGTATACTTTCATATTGTTGTTGCTTTTGAATTTTGATCATTCTTTTGGATTTACCAACTTTACTTTTGGTAGTCACTTACAAAAAAACAACTACGTCATTTGCCATGGTGAGTGCCGTGACATTTCAGAAGTCATACTTCTGTGATCAAGATTCTTGAGTCATATACATATGAGTATATAAGGGCTTTTCATTTGCTTTGGAGAGCATATTCTCTCTCTCATTGTTTGTTTGCCTGATCAGAATAAAATCTTCACATCATTTTAACAAAACTACCTTCATCATTCGCTTCCAACATACAATACAAAGTAAATATTATCAGAAATTTGGGCACATAATTCATTCGATTTAAATTATTATTGACGTGGAGAGTTTTTGGTTGTTTTTATGTTGCACACTAATATTAGTATTTCACAAATATAAGCAATCGTTTAACTTGAATTAGTAGATTAAAAATAGGCTGATTAGCTACTTTGTATAATTTATGAAGATTCTTCGTACCATCTTGTAATAATATAAACAAATCCAAGTAGAAAAGAATCGATTGATCTGATTTTTATTTAGTAGAACTATCATTTTATCCTGAATAATCAAATGATGTTTGATAGATTGTTTTATATTGTAATTAAATCTTCATATAATAGCTTTTCTCTCGTCTTAACACATTTATTTATTATGTTTATTAGAATTAGTTACTTCTATATGATATAAATTTTTAAACTGATCTCTTTCATTCATTTATTTGATTTGATTGTATTTTATTTAGTAATTAATTAGATAATTTATTATTCTATGGGTAAAAAACAAACAAAACTCGAAACTCATGAAGAATTATCTGGATCAGCAAATGCAAGTAAGTAGTTCAACTATTATGTCTGTTAAATAACAAACCAATAAAATAAATGAGCATGAAAATAGTTCTTCAAAATCTAATTAGTAAATTAATAGAAAACAGTATATTATTTTTTAGATTTTTTTGAAACTAATCGAGTAAGAAATTGAAATGATTTAGGATTAGATTAATTTTTGATTATAAAATCATATTTATTTATTTTTTACTTCAAATTTAAAAACATTTGTTCTATTTGACTAATCAAGATATATTTTTAAATTAAAAGATTTATAGAATAATTTCTTTTTCGATTATAATTAATTTAATATATATATTACTGTAAAATTTATGATATTAATTTTAAACTAATCAGATGAATAAGAAATATCTGATATATTATTATTGAATTTGATCCATTAATAATTTTAACTGAGAAATAAAATAGTTCAATAGAATAATCTAAAGATAGGCCATTTTTATTTAGATAAAATATTACAAATGTTCTTAGATCGGATTGGTGAAAGATGAGCACAAGGAAAGATGAGCACA